AATAGTAGCTGCATTGGCAGTCATCTTTCAAAATTCTAGACTTTACAACCATTTCTGCAAATTAGAAGGTAGAAAATATTTATGAAAGAAGGGAGAGGAAGAAAAAAGCGGACTATAGATGTGCTGCCTGACATCAGTCATAGGAAAAAATGCTGGAATCTGTTGATTCTATGAACATGATAAGAACATGATAACTAGACACTTGGAAAATAATGGTAGGATTGCACAGATTCAACATGGATGTATGAAAGGAAAATCATGTTTGATAAAGCCTTAAAAATCTTTGTGCACATAACTAACAGAATAAATAAGCAGAAACCAGTAGATAATGGTTTTCACATTCTTAGATTTTGAGCAGGCTTTCAATAAGGTCCTAGTCATACTAGTCAGTAAAATTGGAACACATAGGTTTGGGAGAATATACCATCATGGATTGAGAATTGGCTAATGGACTTAAAACAAGGAAGTAGGAATAAACAGGATGCTGGGGGAGAATGATATGTAAGATTTCACAGTAAGAAAAATCAATTGGCAGAGAGCTGACTTCAATAGGGCAAGAACAATTCTGGGCAACATTCACAGGAACAAGAGGTTGGTAGGGAGAAACACTAACTGACCTTCAAAGAACAGATGGTTTGGGTACAATTGAGGTATATTCCTCAAATGGGAAGGTAGACAATCAGATCCAGAGTTCTGTGGATAGTAAAAGGAAATAAAGAATAACATTAGAAAAATAAAAGTGTGCTTATGACAGATGTAAGGCAGAAAATACAACTGAAAACCAAGAGAAATACCAAAGGTTTAGATGGGAAGTGAAAAAGCAAATTAGAGGTATCTATGAGAAAAGATGAGCAGTTCATTTAGCAGATTGGGGCAGCACAGTACACAGTGGTTAGCTGCTTCACAGCACCAGGGACTCAGGTTCAATTCCAGCTTCGGCGACTGTCTGTTTTGAGTTTGCATTTACTCCTTGTGTCTGTGCAAGTTTACTCCAGGTAGTCTGGTTTCCTCCCATAGTCCAAAGATGTGCAGTTTAGTTGGATTGGCTATGCTAAATTGCCCTGTAGTGTACAGGTTAGGTGGGCTAACTACAGTAAGTGTGGGGTTACAGGGATAAAGAAACTTCAGACGATCGGTGCAGACCCGATAGGCCGAATGCCTCTATCTGCACTGTAGTGAGTGTACGACTCTATTCTATCCTATTGATAACAAAAATGGAGAATCCCACCATGTCCCATAGGAATATAAAAAGAGTAGTTAGAGGAGGAGTTTGGCTAATTAGAAACGTTGACACTGTTAGGGGTGTGATGACAGAGAAGGAAATCGTGTCACTACAAGTGTTCAAAATTCAAGTAGTAATACTGGATAAACTGTTGGTACTTAAAGCTGACAAAGTACTGGAAGCGGATGAGAAGCATGCAAGGATGAAGGAATTCAGGGTAGAAATTGCAAGGGCACTGGCCATTATTGTCAGTCTTCCCTGGACTTTTGGAGGTGGTACTTTGGAGGAAACTGGAATTGCAATAATTGCAGCCTTGTACAAGAAAGGTGTAAGAATTGTCCTAGCAATTCCAGACCAGCCGGTTTAACTTTGGTACTGGGTAAACGTTTAGAAATAATTATTCGGGATAGAATTTGTAGTCACGAGGAAAAGGTCGGTTGATTCGGAAGAGTCAGCATGAATTTCTAAAGGGGAAATCTGGTTTAACTAACGTGTTGGAGTTGTTTGAAGCAGTAAGAGAAAGACTTGATGTGAGTAATGGTGTTAATGTGATGTGCATGGATTTCCAGAATACTGTCACACCAGGAAACCACCATGTTGGGCCAAGTCCGCCTTTCTCCTCCTTCAGGCAGCCGAGCCTAGCTGTGGACCTGACAGGTTCAGGCTGGAGGAGTCAGCCCAGGACCTGTTCCTCGCTCCCAAAAACCCAACCAGATCAGTTTTTCCAACCATCGACAATGGATTCATGGTCATCATTAGACTCTTAATTCCAGATTCTTTTCTATTGAATTCCAATTCCACCATCTGCCACGGCAGGATTCAAACCCCGGTCCCCAGACCATTATCATCTTTTGGTTAGGTTAGCAGTCTAGCAATAATACCACTAATACCTCAAATGACAAAGGGTGGTGAATATTTGGAGCTTCCCATCCTAGAGGGCTGCAGATGCTTAGCCAGAGTATATTCAAGAAGGAGATTAATAGATTTCTAGCTCAATGTGTGTGCATGCACGCTAGCACAATGTACTCACAGGTACAAAAGCAGCAACTCCAAACATCCATACATGGTGATTGGTTTACAGCATTGATTTCAGTTCTGGAAGTCAATGCAGCGCAAAAATCTTGGGAAGTCAAGGAATCATACACTACAGAACCGGTCCTGCAGCCCACTGGGCCTGTACCAATAAAATTATGCTAAATCAACACAAGTCTCACAGCCTTGAACGTTACGACATTTTACAAGTGATCATCCACATACCCTTTAAAGGTTGTGAGGTTTCGCACTCACCTACTCTCCCAAGCACAAAAACAAATACAGAATTTGCTGGAAAAACTCTGGCAGCACTTGTGGAAAGAAAGCAGAGTTAACATTTCAGCTCCAGTGATTCTTCCTCAGAGCTGGCAGGCAGAATCCTCCCAGACAGGTCATTCTGACCTCCTGCGACCCTCTGGGTGAAACAGTTTTCTCTGAACTCCCCACTAAACCTCCTACGTTTCATCTTAAAAGCGTGACCCTTGTTAAGGGGACCAGCTGCTTTTTATACACACTGCCCTCAGTCTTGTATATCTCTATCAATTATGGCCTAACCAAACTTCTATACGGCTCTAACATGACCTTCCTCCTCTCAATCTATGCCAGGACTGATGAAAGGCAAGTGGCTCGTATGCCCTCTTAATCTGCTCTGCCACCACAGAATTGTGGATAAGCACCTCAAGATACCTCTGCTTGTCTGAGCTTCCTAGGGTCCTGCCAGTGAGTACTTCCTTGTTTTGTTATTTCTTCCAAAGTGCATTATCACACATTATTAGGGTTTAATTGCATTGCCACGGATCTGCTCATCTGACCAAATCAGTGTATATCCTCCTACAAACTAAGGCAAATCTGCGCTTCATCCACAAGCTTACTTATTGCCCCGCCTACATGGTCATGCACTTTTTTTTCAAGATATAGATCATGAACAATACGGAATCCAACACAGAATTCCTGACAAAGCCATGTCGACTATTTCTGATCAAATCTTGCCTCTCTAAATAGAGTTTATTTTCTTCAGAATTTTCTAAAATAGATTTTCTATCATTGATGAGAGACATATTGGTCTATGGTTCAGAGATAGTAGGAACTGCAGATGCTGGAGAATCTGAGATAACAAGGTGTAGAGCTGGATGAACACAGCAGGCCAAGCAGCATCAGAGGAGCAGGAAGGCTGATGTTTCGGGCCTAGCCCCTTCTTCAGAAATGGGGGAGGGGAAGGGGGATCTGAAATAAATAGGGAGAGAGGGGGAGCCGGATAGAAGATGGATAGAGGAGAAGATAGGTGGAGAGGAGACAGACTGGTCAAAGAGGCGGGGATGGAGCCAGTAAAGGTGAGTGTAGGTGGGGAGTTAGGGAGGGGATAGGTCAGTCCAGGGAGGACGGACAGGTCAAGGGGGCGGGATGAGGTTAGTAGCTAGGAGATGGGGGTGGGGCTTGAGGTGGGAGGAGGGGATAGGTGGGAGGAAGGACAGGTTAGGGAGGCGGGGACAAGCTGGGCTGGTTTTGGGATGCGGTAGGGGGAGGGGAGATTTTGAAGCTTGTGAAGTCCACATTGATACCATTGGGCTGCAAGGTTCCCAAGCGAAATATGGATGCTGTTCCTGCAACCTTCGGGTGGCATCGTTGTGGCACTGCAGGAGGCCCAGGATGGACATGTTGTCAGAGGAATGGGAGGGGGAGTTGAAATGGTTCGCGACTGGGAGGTGCAGTTGTTTAGTGCGAACCGAGCGTAGGTGTTCTGCAAAGCGGTCCCCAAACCTCCGCTTGGTTTCCCCGATGTAGAGGAGGCCACAACGGGAACAGCGGATACAGTATACCACATTAGCAGATGTGCAGGTGAACATCTGTTTGATGTGGAAAGTCTTCTTGGGGCCTGGTATGGGGGTGAGGGAGGAGGTGTGAGGTCAGGTGTAGCACTTCCTGCGGTTGCAGGGAAAAGTGCCGGGTGTGGTGGGGCTGGAGGGGAGCGTGGAGCGGACAAGGGAGTCACGGAGAGAGTGGTCCCTCTGGAAAGCAGATAAGGATGGGGAGGGATAAATGTCTTTGGTGGTGGGGTCGGATTGCAGATGGCGGAAGCGTCGGAGGATGATGCGTTGGATCTGGAGGTTGGTGAGGTGGTATGTGAGCATGAGGGGGATTCTGTTTTGGTTGTTATTGCAGGGAGGCGGTGTGAGGGATGAGTTGCGGGAAATGCGGGAGACACGGTCGAGGGCATTCTCGACCATTGAGGGGGGGAAGTTGCGGTCCTTGAAAACCGAGGACATCTGAGATGTTCAGGAATGGAATGCCTCATCCTGGGAGCAGATGCAGCGGAGGCGAAGGAATTGGGAATAGGGGATGGCATTTTTGCAGGAAGGTGGGTGGGACGAGGTGTATTCTAGGTCTATGGTTCCTTGGTTTTATCTCCACCACACTTCCTGAAAATGGAATCACATTAGCTATCCTTCCCTGTGGCCAGAGAGGAATTAAATATTTGGGTCAGGGCAACAGTGATCTCCCCCCACTCATTTCCCACACCAGCCTGGGCTACAGCTGATTTAGACCTGGGGATTTGTCCACTGTAAAGCCCATCAAAACCATCTCAATCCCTATATTGTTATTCCATGATTGCACATAAACAGCATTGGAAATCAAGTGTTAAAATAGATAAGAAAAGCCGCTAGTGTGTATATTGTACAAAAGGTTTCTCAACATTTTATGAGATTACATCTCAATATACCTCTGATGGAGTTGGTCCATCACTCACCTTTCTGCTCTTCACCTGTTCCAGCCAGTAACGCATAGAAAATATGGTAATTTCGTTCCCCAGGGTTCTGCCTGACTACACGGTTCTACAAAACAAAATTAAGTTTCAATATCCTGAATCTTAAACCACAGATGAATAACTAGCATTATTTTGCAAGGAAAATTATATTTAAGACACAAGTGCTTCAACATAAAATATCCTTACCTTTTCTAATAAATCTTTAGATAAAAAATCTGTCAAGGTAAACAATTTATGATACAAGCTCTTGTTGCTCAAGTAGAGCAAAAATAGTTTTCTAATAAATTAAGCATGAAACAGCAGATTTACAGAAATTCAGGAACAAACGGAAAAACATTCCCTTCAGACCAATCTTATGCCTTTAAGTATAAAAAAGTTGGATTCTCAAGTTTCTTCTAATGAGACACATTTTGTTTGGCTGTCCAAAGTAATTTTGAATTGCACGTGGAGTTGCATTTTGATGCCAGTCACTTAAAGGATACAATCTACGATTCTGGCTCCCTGAATATTTCCCTTTTGACAAAAGTTCAGCTTAATGAACTTCCCAAATCGACTGGAGTTGTTGTTATAGACAGTCTTCGCATTGCCAAATGCTTCCAAGATGGGACTGTTGATTCAAAAAAGAGATGTGAATTCAGTGGACTGCAAGTACAGACTGACATCACATAAAACAATTGCAAACAAACCGACTAGGTGTTTGATATTAATCTCAATCTTTTAAAATGATGTTTAAGATTATAACAAAAGTCTAAAGTACCTGTCAAAGTATTTGTGAACAGGTTAATACAATTAGCAAGTATACCATTTGTGAATGCTGAATATAACAATTTTAAGTATTGGTGAAATCCAGAATAAGCATGGCTACAATATAACCAGTGTGAAACATGGCCTGGCTCTATTAGTGTTTATTCTGCAGCTAGCAAAGTGATTTTTTTTTTAAAGAGACCAGCATTTGTAATCCAGTTGCCAGTGTTTATATTAACAGAACATAGAACAGTACAGCATACGACCAGGACCTTTGGTCCACCATGTCTGTGATGACCATAATGCCATTCTAAACTAATCTCATCTTTCCGTTCAAGGTCTGATTCCCTTTATTTCCTGCCCATTCATGCATCTGTCTAAATGCCTCAAAATTTGCAATTGTATCTGCTTCCATCATCTCCTCTGGCAGCATGGCCCAGGAACCCACCAGACTTTGTGCAAAATAAAAAACTTGCCTCACACATCTCCTTTGCACTCTTCCCTCCTCATCTTACACCTATTCTCCTAGTATTTAGCATTTCCAACCTGGGGAAATGGCTATCCACCCTGCCCATGCTTCTCACAATTTTATATAGTTCCATCAGTTCGCCCCTCAGCCTCAGACTCTAGTGAAAACAATCCAAGTTGGTACTTTCAGGGAGCTAGGGACTTGCACCCCTAACAACCTTCCTAAGGATCCTTGTATTTACTGTATACTATCCTCTCGCATTTGACCTCCCAAAATGTATCACTTAATACTTGGCCAGGGGCAGTACAGTGGCTCAGTGGTTAGCACTGCTGTCTCACAGTGCCAGGGATCTGGGTTTGATTCCAGCCTCGGACGACTGTCTGTGTGGAGTCTGCACATTCTCCCTGTGTCTGCGTTGGGTTCCTCCAGGTGCTCCAGTTTCCTCCCATGGTCCAAAGATGTGCAGGTTAAGTGGATTGGCCATGCTAAATTGCCCGTAGTGTCTAGGGTGGGAAATGCAGGATTGGGGTGGGGGTTGGGTCTGGATGGGATTGTGTTTGGAGGGTCGGTGTGGATTCGATGGGCCAAATGGCCTGCATCCACACTGCAGGGATTCTATGATTCTAATAAACTCCATCTGCCATTTCTCTGCCCAAACTTTCCAAATGGTCTATATTGTTCTGTATCCTTCGATAGCCTTCTTCACTATCTACAACTTCATGAACTTGTATGGCATCTGGAAATTTACTAATCGGACCACCTACATTTTCATCCAAATCATTTACAGGTACATATATTATTACAGAGGTCCCAGCTCTGATCCTTGCAAAACACCACTGCTTATTGACCTCCAGTCAGAAAAACAACGCCCAACAACACCCCTCTGTCTTCTATGACCAAGCCAATTTTGTATCCAAAATTGCCAACTCACAGTGGATCTCATGTTACGAGTTTTCTGGATCAGCCTACCATGAACGACTTTGTCAAATGCTTTGATAGTCCATGCAGACAACATCCACTGCCCAACCCTCAATCACTTTCGTGACTTGCTCAAAAAATTCAATCAAGTTTGTGAGACATGACCTCCACTGCATAAAGCCATGCTGACAATCCCTAGTAAGTCCATTTTTCTTCAAGTTCAAGTAAACCCTGTCCTTTAGAATCTTCTGCAATAAGTTGCTTTCTACTGATGTGAAGCTTACCAGCCTGTGATTTCCTGGATTATTCTTGTTCCTTTTTAAACAAATTGACTATTCTCCAGTCGTCTGGGATCTCATCAGGCCGTGGGGACTTATCTACCTTAATGTTTTTCAAGACATTCAACACGTTCTCCTTCTTAATACTGTCATGGTCTTGAATATCAATATACCCCTCCTGAAGCTTACCTGCATCAATCTTCTTCTGCTTGATGCAAAGTATTTGTTAAGTGAGTGGTTCTGAGTGGACTTGCCCTTTCCCTTGCAGCCCTCGTACTCCTAATACATGTATAAAATACTTTAGGATTCTCCTTAATACTACATGCTAAGGACATTTCAGGCTATCCTATAGCTCTCCTAATTTCTTGTTTAAGTTCCTTCCTGCTTCCTTTGTATTTCTCAAGGGCCTTGTTTGACTTTGTTTTCTAAAACTTACGTATGCTTCCTTTTATTTTTTGACCAATCGTTTAATATCTTTTACCATCCAAGATTCCTAAATGTTGCCATCCTCATCTTTTATCCTCACAGGAACATGTTGTTCCTGAACTCTGATCAACTGACCTGTGAAAGACGACAACATGTCAGATGTGGAATTACCCTCAAAGAGCCACCACCCTTTTATATTTATTCATTTTGTGGGATGTGGGCATTGTTGGCTGGCCAGCATTTCTTGCCCATCCCTGGTTGCCCTCGAGAACAGGAACAGGCCCTTCGGCCCTCCAAGCCTGCGCCGATCCAGATCCTCTATCTAAACCTGTCACCTATTTTCCAAGGATCTGTATCCCTCTGCTCCCTGCCCATTCATGTATCTGTCTAGATACATCTTAAATGATGCTATCGTGACCTCCGCTGGCAATGCGTTCCAGGCACCCACCACACTCTGCGTAAAGAACTTTCGACGCATATCTCTCTTAAACATTTCCCCTCTCATCTTGAAATCATGAGCCCTAGTAATTGAGTCCCCCACTCTGAGAAAAAGCTTCTTGCTATCCACCCTGTCTATACCTCTCATGATTTTGTAGACCTCAATCAGGTCCCCCCTCAACCTCTGTCTTTCCAATGTAAATAATCCTAATCTACTCAACGTCTCTTCATCGCTAGCGCCCTCCATACCTGGTAACATCCTGGTGAACCTCCTCTGCACCCTCTCCAAAGCATCCACATCCTTTTGGTAATGTGACGACCAGAACTGTACGCAGTATTCCAAATGTGGTCGAACCAAAATCCTATACAACTGTAACATGACCTGCCAACTCTTGTACTCAATATTCCGTCCGATGAATGAAAGCATGCCGTATGCCTTCTTGACCACTCTATCGACCTGCATTGCCACCTTCAGGGTACAATGGACCTGAACACCCAGATCTCTCTGTGCATCAATTTTTCCCAGGGCTTTTCCATTTACCGTATAGTTCGCTCTTGAATTGGATCTTCCAAAATGCATCACCTCACATTTGCCTGGATTGAACTCCATCTGCCATTTCTCCGCCCAACTCTCCAATCTATCTATATTTTGCTGCATTCTCCGACAGTCCTCTTCACTGTTTGCTACTCCTACTTCACTATCTGAGAAGGTGGTATTGAGTTGCCTTCTTGAACCGCTGCAGTCCACCTGCTGTGGGTTGACCCACAATGTTATCAGGGAGGGAATTCCAGGATATTGACACAGCGAGTGAAGGAACGATGATATATTTCCAAGTCAGTATGGTGAGTGACTTGGAGGAGAAATGAAGGTAGTCGTGTTCCCATCTATCTGCTGCCCTTGTCGTTCTAGATAGAAGTGGTCGTGGGTTTGGAAGGTGCTGTCGGAGATGAATTTCTACAGTGCATCTTGTCAATAGTACACACTGCTGCTACTGAGTGTCGCTGGTGGAGGGAGTGGATGCTTGTGGAATGTAATGCCAATCAAGCGGGCTGCTTTGGCCTGGATGGCATCAAGCTTCTTGAGTGTTGTTGGGGCTACACTTACCCAAGCAAGTGACGAGTATTCCATCACACTCCTGACTTGTGCCTTCTGATGGTGGACAGGTTTTTGGGAGTCAGGAAGTGAGTTACTCACCACAGTATTCCTAGCCTCTGATCTGCTCTTGTAGCCACTGCATTTGTGGTGAGTCCAGTTGAGTTTCTGGCCAACGATAACTCCTAGGATGTTGATAGTGAGGGGATTCAGTGATGGTAACACTATTGAATGTCAAGGGACGATGGTTAGATTGTCTCTTGTTGGTGATAGTCATAGCCTGGCATCTGTTTGGCATAAATGTTACTTGCCACTTGACAGCCCAAGCCCGTATGTTGTCCAGATCTTGTTGCACTTGGACACAGACTGCTTCAGTGTCTGAGGAATTGCGAATTGTGCTGAACATTGTTCGCCGATGATTGCACATTCCCACTTCAGAACTTATGATGGAGGGAAGGTCATTGATGAAGCAGTTGAAGATGGTTGGGCCTGAGGAGCTCCTATAGAGATTTCTCCAGTTCCTGCCTAATACAACTGTAATTAGCCTTTCAGCATTTTCACCCAAAGATCTATTGATAACTACCTTGAAACTTACAGAATTATGATCCCTGTTCCCAAAATGCTCCCCCACTGAAACTTTGATCACCTGGCCAAACTCATTCCCCAAGGTCTAATCCAGCCCGTTCCCTCATTGGACTATCTCCATATTGTTTGAAGAAATCTTCCTGGATGCACTTAAATTCTGCCATGTAAATCACTGGCACTGATTCCCCTTCGATTTTGGGCAAGTTAAAATTACCCACCACAACAACCCTCCTGTTTTTACATCTTTATATGATCTGCATATATATTACTTCCTCCAGCTCCTACTGGCTATTGGGAGGCCTATAGTAATAACCCTATCATGTTGACTGCACCTTTCTTATTCCTAATTTCTACCCATATGGCCTCACTGAGTGAGCCCTCCAAAATGCACAGCCGTGGTATTCTCCTTAATCAGCAATACAACTTTACCCAATCCCCTTTACATCCCTTGGTGAGCTTGCAAGATGGATAAAATACTGGCTCGGTCATAGAAGACAGAGGGAAGCAGTGGAAGGGTGTGTTTCTGAATGGAGGGCTGTGACTAGTGGCGTTCCTCAGGAATCAGTGTTGGGACCTTGCTGTTTGTAATATATATAAATAATTTAGAGGAAAATATAACTGGTCTGGTTAGTAAGTTTGCCAATGACACAAAGTTT